TGTGTTCATGATGGAAATTCCTGCGTATTCCTCACCCCCAGGGAGAATGGCCCTGGAGCCCAAGCCGCCGGTGACTCATGTCCCTGGGCGAGGACTGCAGCTTGCCTAAACAGAACGCGCTGCTTTAAGGGGCACGTCCCACAAATCAAATATTAGGCCTGAGAACCTCCCCCAGAAAGACAAACAGGTGGTGTGCGAGCTTGCGGTTTCTGCAAACAGACCCGAATCCCCAGAAAAATCTATGTTGGATCTCCCGGCGTGAGACATGGGAGAACCAAGCCTGGCCTTAAAAATAATGATAACAGCAATAATAATAGATTTGAAGTCACCCCCAGCCGGGCCACTTGGCAGCACAGACACAGCTCCAGAGCTGAACACACAGGCACAGAAACAGGAAGCCAGCTGCCAGCCCTGGAAGGAAATTAACTTGGGTCCAAGATCGCTCAGGAGGCTTTGGTGAGGCTCTCTCCGTGGCCTGTCGTTCTCACGTGACCGTGGACTTCCTCTTTATCGTTATCATCACCATTTGGTCATTCGCCTCGGATGGCCTCAGAGGACTTGAATAAGCTTCCGTTTCCCTCACTGTGATTCCTAATATTTATCCCACCACTTGGGACTTGATCCACAGAATGGCTCTTCAGTTATGTTATTTGTCCTGTTCCAGCAAGTACCTCGGACAGTTTGGTCCCTTCGTTCTGTGACTCGTTGGTTCTCTCGCGCTTCGGTCCCCATCTGTAGGGCCAGACTTGAGGTTCATTTCTCGGGCCTCCGGAGTACATCTTCATGCTGTTCTCTCAGGGGTGGCATGGGGTGTGGGTTTTATATTTGGGAATCTCTCAGCTGGGACTGAGACCTCACTCCCTTTCCCCTCAGAACTCTGACAGCATAATGTGACCCCAAAGATGTCCATGTCCTGACCCCCCTGAACCTGTGAGAATGTTAGGGTACATGGCAAAGGGGAATTAAGATTGAAGGTGCAATTATCAGCTGACGTGGACGTGGGGAGATGACCCTGGGGTTTCCAGGTGGCCCACTGTCATCACAAGGGGCCTGACCACTTCACGCCACCTCAGGCCTCGTCTCCGTTCCCCGGTCCTTCACCTCCTCTTTCTGCCTCAAAAGGGGTTTCCTTGCATCAGATCAGCCTTTGCTCAGAAGACATTAACCCCCCTTGAGAACAGAGGGTGTCAGCCTCCACTCTGCTGAGTCCTCCAGTCACAGCTCTCAGGTTGGTGCCCCCGGGCGACCAGGAAGTCAGATGGCAGAGGAGGATGTGGTGTGGGTTTCTGTCTCGTCTCCATCTCTCACACCAATTTCTCTACATTCACTTTCGAGACAATATCTGACAAACATTTTTGAGACAACAGCTGATAGGCAACTCAGACTAGCCTATCTCTCAGTTATTCTTCTCAGTAAACAATGATGTTTCAGGGGAAAACTTTCTAGTTGGAACTCAGACAACTGCCGGTTCCTTTCATGAAGAAACAAGTGGCACATCGATGTGTAGAGGGGCATTATGTGCATGTCTCATTCCATCTCACAGGATGTTCAAAAGACAGGTATGCAAGGATCGAGGTTTAATAACATGATAATTTTTACTATTTCATCAAGGACATACCTTTAATCAAGGACACATGTCATCAAAGACATGCTCCACTTTTGTGGCAAAGAATAGAGTGACCACTGGAACCTTCTGTTCCTTTCCCTTGGTCTGTGCTCAGGCCCTAAGAGTTTTGCCCACTGTTGCTTTTGCATCATTGGTGCAGGTGTCAAAGGTCAAAAAAGGCAAATATCATCGTAGTGTTATTATGAAAATAGTTTTGACCTTGTCAACCCTCTGAAAGGGTCGTAGGACCCTCTACGGGTCCCTGGATCACACCTGGAAATCCACTATTCTAAATCACTGGACTTAACGTCCCACATGGAAATTCTGCCCATTTTCCTGCCCGGTGTCCATTTTAATTCCTTTCCATCTTTATTTTAGCCAACTCTTCCCACCTCAATGAACGTGGCCCTTCCATCCCGACCTGGTTTCTTCTTTAGCTCCTGCTCTTCCCTCGCCGGCCCCAATTAGCACACCAAGCAGACTTATGTCAAGTTCTCTTCTGTTTCTGAGTCACATTCGAGTCACTTCTGTTCCTGAAGGTGACTCTAACTTGTGGGTGCATGTCAGGCGTTTCCCCACTGAGGCGGCTGCAGTGGGACGACATCTGGTCGACCCGGTGTTGGCGTGCGGGTTCTGCTGGATCTGCTCACCTCCTCCTGACCTGAAACCCCAGGTCGGGGCGATGTGCCTGCAGCTGGCAGACATCATCTGGTGCTATTCTGCTGGGCCAGCACTGGGTCTCCTTTTCCCTCCCTCTCTGTTCTCCAGCTGTGAAGAACAGAAATTATATTTTACAGGATCTGAAGCAGAGCATCATTTTCCTTTCCTCCAAATTCTGCTCCTGAAATATGTGAGTCCCCAGCCACCGCCCCAGGACTCTCCAGGGCTGCACTGACACAGGTCTCATCTTTTCCCGCCGTGATGGGTGGATACAGCCCTGCTCAGACAGGGAACGGGGGGCACTCCCTGGGAGAGAGGCTGGACAGGACCCCGCCCAGTGGAGGGCTGGCCTCTAGGTCTAATGGCTGGTGCATATATGACAAGAGCCGAAATGGAGGCGCCCGGACCCTTCCCACTTGGCTGCAGGTGCTCTGTGCTCCTCTGTTTGAAGCACAGACTTGACCTTGTCGATGCAGCTTTATCTAGACTGTACTCAGTGGGGACAGTGTCCCCCCTAGATTCCTACAACCACTTGGCCACTTTACCTTGGTTTTCCAACCTCAGTATTTTAATGAATAGTCGGGGGGAGGGGCATCAGTGAGGTGCAGTCACTTTCGTCCACTTTCATCCAGCATTGGTCACCCAATGCCTCTCAGAATAACTCCATTGTCTGAAGCCTCACCACGCTCGGGGTGTCCCCGTCAGACAGCACAGGTGCAGAGTTCTCAGAAGACAGGGGCACCTAGTGTCTGTCTACTTTGCGTCACTAAGAATGTATTAATTTGATCTCACTTAAAACTAAAATATTACATTTGGCCGACATTCTCTGAGATAGAACAAAAGGACTGTGTTCGTTAGCTGCGGGTACGCTTTCCAGTCGGTCCGATTTGGCAGGTTCACCAGGAAGCCGTGTTGCTGAAAACCTGACCGTCTAGGAAGAAGAACGGTGGTTTTCCTGGGGCTGCAGGTGCTGGGTGATTCCTGCTCTGGACACTCTCCAAGCCCAAGCCGTGCTAGCCATGGGGCGACAAAGCTGGGGACTCAGCTCCACTGCTCCCCTGCTGGGAGAGACCCCAAACCACTTGTCAAGGAAACGCCATCTGGCTGTGCCCTCAGGCTTCTGTGAGGGCTCTAGGACGGTGCAGTGACCTGTTGGCTTTCTCAGTGGGGTGCCAGCCTACCTGGTGTTGTCCTCAGCTCAAGGCCATTAACTCAGGCCGTGGTAGCACATGGAAGTGGCAGACCAGGGCCCCACAGCAGAGAGCATCGGCCTCACCCGGCCCACCATCTCCGTGGCCCTTTCCTCTGCATTCTCTGCGATCTGCTCTGACCCGCCCATCAACCGCTTACATTTTCTCTCCTCTCACCTCCTCTTAAACAATCACACTGGGAACAGATTGGTCTAGATAACCACATCATCTGACCTGGCTGCATCCCCCAGGACTCAGCTGGCCCCACCTCTGCTGGGCCTTTAGAGCCACCAACCCCTACCCTTCTGAGGGAGATTAGACACTGGATACTAATGACTGATGACTCCCCAGCTAACCAGGGCACCTGAGCGCGGTCTCTAAGCTTTAGTTCCACATCGCAGACACTCAGGGTTTCAGCTCAGAGCTGGGGAAGAACGTGGGTTTTGGGCCCCTGTCCACCCTCTTTCCGTTACACTGAGTGACGTGAGGCTGTGTGGGCAGCGGCGGGAACGGTCCCAGCCTGGGATTCAGAACCTTTGTGGTTCGTGGCCCTTTAACAATGAATGACAGTCATGAGCACACAGCCTGGAAAAATGTCCAATTATAAACAGTCACGGAGGTGTTTAGATGCAACTCCATGTCTGTAAAGATAATGTATTTCAACCCCAGTCTGCCCACCTTGCACCCGTTTGGACCCATGCCGTCGGTCTCTCCCTGGTCTCTCCCCGAGAGACAGAGTGGGGGTTCGGGTTGGTGCTACAAGGGGCACAGGCTGCCTGTGGGTGCCTTTCTGACTTTTTGTCACTGTTTTCTGCATATGAAAAAGGCCCCTTGTGTGCACACACCTATTTAAAGCCTGTTGCAAAAAACGAGACATCCAATATATTTCCTGTTTGTTTTCTCCTAAGGGGGCTGAAGGGCAGAATTAAGAAGGAAAACTCTCAGAGGGAGCTGGTTTCCAACACGGCCCGTCTGAACGAGAGCCGCTGTGCCCACTGCCTGCAGCCCTACCAGCTCCTTGACAGCCCCAAAAGGCAATGCCTAAACTGCCACCTCTTCATCTGCAAAGGCTGCAGCCACGCCCACCCAGAGAAGCCGGGCTGGCTCTGCGACCCCTGCCACCTGGCCAGGTGAGCCGGGGCCAGCGTGTCCCTTCGGTGGGGCAGGTGTGTGTGGCAGTCACGCACGCCTGTGTGTCACCCACGGCAGTGCCACGGGCCTGAGCTCCGTCTCTCTGCAGAGTCGTGAAGATGGGCTCGCTGGAGTGGTACTACGGGCATGTGAAAGCCCGCTTCAAGCGGTTTGGCAGTGCCAAAGTAATCCGGTCCCTCTGTGGGCGGCTGCCGACAGGAGGTGAGGAGTGGGCAGAGGTGGGGGGGGGCGCGGGTCTTTTGGTTCCCAGGCGTGTTTTAATGGTTCAGGACCGCAGAACCCTTTGGAAAGTGTGCGCGAGCACCTGTCTGTCAGTCCCTGTTTCTGCTGTTTTTTATGAGGTTGGCTGCTTGCTGTGTGAGCTGCAAACTCCTGCACCCCTGGCCTGACCTGGCCCAGCCCCCTGGGAAGTCCAAAGGCCTGCATGTTGACACCCCCACTATTGAGTCCCAGGCTCTGTCATTAAGCCTGGCCAAGCATTTCGGAGCACAGCCTACCAAGCCAGTGTCTAGGGTCTCCATCGAAGGACTGAGGCCAGTGCCCCCAGAATGTGCAGAGCAGATGCTGTGCTTCTTGCGTTGGGGTGCCCCACTGTGTCCCAACCTCTCCCCCAGGCCTCTGGTGCCTTACTTGTTTGCATCCTGTGTCCATTAAAGCTCCAAGTTGGTAGGCAGGAGCAGAAGTTGGCCATGGCCACCCCCAGAGCATTCAGGTGCGCCATGGGCCTGGCGCAGGTGTTTCTGAGGCATCTTAGCACAGTGTTGAGTTTAGGACAGAGATCACTGAGAAGCACCCTAACCTGTGATGGTTTTAGCACCTGGGGCAGCAGACCAGGGAGTGATGGGGCTTCTTAGAGGGATGCATATAAGTCATCCAAACCATTGCATTTTTTAAAAAGATTTTATTGGAAAATTGGGGGAGGGAACAGCACTGGGGAATCAGGGAAGGGGAACAGGCAAATTGCTGTCCTTTTGTTCTTCAGTCTAGTTGTGGAGTATGTCACTTCACTGGCCCATGTTGGTATTGTGATCATTGCACTCTTCCCACCTGAGGCAGATCAGTCACCAGCCCTTGGACGGCCACTCACGTAGCTCACGGCAGCTCACTGCAGCCCCACTGCAACCTACGCTGTCGTCGGCGACTCACCACAGCCCAGGTCCAGGTCAAGCTATTGTTCACCATCTTAGCTGAAGAGGGCGCAGCGTCACTGGCCCTCATGTGGGAACCGAACCGGTGACCCTACTGCTCAGAGCTGGCGTCCCAAGCCAACTCCTAACCAATGAACCACTCGGCCGGCGCCACAAACCAGTGCATTTTTAAGAGTAAAAGCAGCCCTTCTGATAACCACGCTGAGACAACAGATGTGACTGGGAGTGCCCTGGCAACACAGGGAGGGACCGTCACCCTATTCTTGGGGGCTCTTCTCCCCTCTTCCCCAAGCTACTTCTTAGAGACTGACATCTCTGTCTCGGGCTAGAGCCCATGCCATCTCAGCCAGCCAGGAGCCAGCCAAGGGTCTTCCTGCAGCAGCAGGAGCTTGGTCCGGCCCCTCACAGGGCTCAGGGGTGAGGGCAAGGAAGCCACACTAGGAAGCATCTGAGAATCTCAAACCCAAGTCAGCCGCTCAGGGCAGGAAGCCACAGGCCACATCAGCACCGGGAGGACCTGGGCCTCACCCTGGGAGGCGCTGATTGATGCTGGGGACTGGGTGGGCTCAGGAGTCTGTCATGCAAAAGGTCGCAGGGATCTGATGCCCAGCCAAGGCCTGGAGCTGCAGGGGCCATCACCACCCTGAACTCACCAGCTTCAAAATTGTCACTGCCAAAGGCCAGGAGGTGGCGCTGTGAGACAACAGGAACACAGATTCCCAGCCACGGCTCCAGGCTTCACAGAGGCGCGTCTCAGGTCCCTGGAGGGGTGTCCCAGAGGCTGCGTTCTCCATTTTCTCTGCCCACACCTGTAAACACAGCACCCTGAGAACAGGAGCATGGAGAGAGCACAAGAGCTGGGAAACTTGTGCCTCTAAAAAAATTATTCCAACAAACAAAAAAAAGGAAATGATTAAAGTTAATGATTTGAAATCTGGCCCTGCCTGGGCCTAATACTGACAGTGTGCAGCTGGTGGGGGCAACCGGGGGGCCTTCTGAGTGAGCCTTCAGAGTGGAGGGTGCATCTCCCCCAAGGCCCCCAGCAGAGGGCACACGCTGTGGGACAGTCCCAGTGGACCGATGGGAAGTACCCTGTCCCGGATGTCTTTCTTCTCAGCACCTTTTCTTTGGTTGTAGGTTTGCCTAATGGAGCAGCACATAGCTCGCCTGACGTCAACAGTAAGTCCCTCTTGCTCAGATGGTTTACCTCTGTTCCCACCTCTTTACCAGGAATGGCCAGGAAGCCTCTGCCAGGATAGAAATCTCTCAGCAACATGGGAAATCCTTTGGGTTTTTTAAGCATGGCTCGATCTCAATAGATGGGTTAACATCACTCAAACTCTGTCCCCTGCGGACGGGGAGACGTAAGGGGTTGATAACAAAAAGAGTTGTGGAGATGCTGTTCCTATTCAATAGTCGGGGCAGTGACGCCACCCTGACAGGTCACACACACTGGGGGCAGTGACACCACCCTGACAGGTCACACACACCCCAGGCCCCTGGAAACCCATTTCCACATGCCCTCGGTACAGACAGTCCCCATCCCAGCGCCCTCTGTCAGGTGGTTTGGTGTGTGTCCTCAAGGCTGTCACGGTCCACAGAGAATAAAAATAATTACAGGTCTGTTGCCCAAGTGCTTTGAGGAGAAGACAGGAGGGCAGAGAACCCTGGGGCTCAGCCTCACTGCCCACCGCCATGCCTGAGGCCGGGCCTGCCGACCAGCAGGTGAAATGAGGCTGTGGGGAAGTGGTCTGTTTGGGGGAACATGACTTAGCTCCAGGCCTCCTCTACCCACCACAGCTCCAGTGTCCTCAGATCACCTAAAAGGGGGTCAGTAAATGGAGGGTGAATGCCTACAGGTGTGACCATTGATACAGTTGATGCAGAGCATTAGTTTTCTGCTATGATTTGGACCAGTTCTAACTGATGTTTGGATAGGCCTTTGTAAGATCAGCAGAGGGTCTTGTCTGGGTGTTAAGCAGAGGATGGATGGATGATGGATGGATGGATGGATGNCCACTGTGCACGTCCTGACGTGGCATTCCAAATGGAATGAGTGTTTATTCCAGGGAACAGGGCTCCCGGCAGCATTAACCTCGTCTGTGACTTTCCTCTGAATGGGTGGGAGGGAATTTTCCGGGGGCCGAGCTCCCGAGGGGCAGGCCGCCTTGTAGGCTGTTTTGGGAACCTGAGGAGGAGGAAAGAGGAGACCAGGTCACCTTCGACTCGGCCCAGGCAGATATAAATCTCTCCCTGAAGCTGGCATGTGTGACAAGGAACTAGGGATTGGTGTGTTTACTGTACGGGGTGTGATGTTATTCCTGGCTTCCCAGCAGGACAGTGCTGCGCGCCAAAGAACTGAAAATTCAAAGACGTACAAAAGTGGGATATTAACAACACTAGCATCAGAAGGGACTTTAGGATGGATTTGACTTAATGCCCCTTTCCTACCATCAAGTCCCAGGCGGGGCACTGCCATGAGGACATGTTCTTTCTGTGAATAGCCTTCGAGCCAACACTTGGGTGAGAGAACAGCCACTCTTACGCTTCGTCTACTGCCCAGTGTAGGGCTTGGGCTGTGAGCCCCATGGGCGCCGTCATTTCCCTGGGTGTGGGGAAAGACGGTGGACAACAGAGGCTTTGCTCAAAGGGGCGCCTCCGTCTTTGACTGACATTCCAGCAGCATTGGATTTCGCTGTCCTACAAGCCAGGAAGAACCTCCAGGGCCCCCCGAGGATGGATGATGGCGCTGGAAGCAGGCCAGGTGGAGGGGGGGCCAGACGAGGCTTCTAGGAGGTTGTTTCAGCCTCTGATGCAAAGAGCCAGCTACTGATTCCAGAACGGCACCTTGGGAAGGTGACTGCTTCTTACTACTCATGCTCTCTTTAATTCCTTTCCTTCTCTTTCGGAATTGAGTTCTCCTGGAGAACATCAGCTATTCTGTAAGCCAGGGGAATTAAAGAAACCTTGAGAAAGAACAAAGTTGGAGGTACCACGCTCCCCGATTTCAAACTGTACTACAGAGCTACACTTATTAAAACAGCATGGTACAGGCATAAGAACAGAGGCATAGATCAATGGAATAGAATAGAGAGCCCAGAAATAAATCCTTGCTAACATGTTCAATTAATCTACGACAAAAAAGGCAAAGATATACAATGGGGAAGTGACAGTCTCTTCATTAAGTTGTGTTGGAAAAACTGGACTACTTTTTTACACCATATGCAAAAATAAACTCAAAATGCATTGAACACTTGAATGTAAGACCTGAAACCATGAAACTCCTAGATGGAATCATAGGCAGTAAGCTCCTTCACATAACTCTTAGCACTATCTTTCTGGACATGTCTACTCGGGTCAGGGAAACAAAGGGGGGAAAATAAACAAATGCGACTACATCAAACTAAAACCATTTTACGCAGCAAAGGAAACCACCAAAACAACGAAAAGGAAAAAAAACAACAGTCTACCGAATGGGAGAAGATACTTGTGAATTACATATCTGATAAGGGGTTAATATCCCCAATATATAAGGAACTCATACAACACCAGTAAAACAAACAATCCGATTTAAAAATGGGCAGAAGACCTGAATAGACATTATTCCAAAGAGAACGCACAGATGGCCAACAGATATATGAAAAGATGCTCAATGTCACTAATCATCAGAGAAATGCAAATTAAAACCACAATGAGTTACCATCTCACACCTGTCAGAATGGCAGTCATCAATANCAAGAGATAGAGGAGCCAGGTGACCCCAGGGTTTCTAGCCTGAGAATCAGCTTTAAAGGAAGGAACGGCCCTCAGCTGAGCTGGGGGAGGGCAGGGGGGTTAAATCTCATCACCCACCGTTGGGTTATTTTGGCTGTAAAAGGCAATTGGATAATTTTGCAACTTTTGTTTTTTATGGCATATCTCTAATCATGAGATACGTTATGACGGGTATCACCCACTGTGTCACAGAAGACATTACCACAATGTCCTCACAGCTTTGCAATTTTCCAAAAGTCACAGATACACTGCTTCTGTGGGTGCTTCTGGGTCAGCCCCAAGCCGGCGTCTGGGAACATAATCTCTATCAAAGTCAACACAGGGCTCGCGCGAGGGACTGTGGGCACCATGCCTGGCACGTGTAGACATGCCATAGACAGTGGACATAAGCGCCATTGTCACTATGCAAGTTCGGAACCTACCCCAGAGCCCTGAGATGACGCAGCATTTCTAGGTGGGGCTGAGGCCGCATGGTTGTGGTGAACGGCAGTCTTGACGTGGAAGCAGAAAGGACCCAGAGACCTGAATCGTCACACCCTGTACACCTGCACTGACCAGGTGTAAACAGTGCACCTGAATCATCAGACCCTGCACACCTGTACTGGCCAGGTGTAAATAGTGCAAGCTGTGGTCTTGGTTTGGCAGCTTTGGGGTGTAAAACCCTAGGAAATGTATTGGTCACCCAATTTACAGACGCAGGGAAGACGTGTCCTCCCATTATGAAAATGTCCACCAAAGAAAGCTCAACGTCTCGTTCAAAACTGGTAGCTCTTACTTGGCGAGGATGTGGAGAAAAGGGGACCCTCATGCACTGTTAGTGGGATTACAAACTGGTGCAGCCACTATGGAAAACAGTGTGGAGATTCCTCAAAAAATTAAAAATAGAGCTGCCATACAACCCAGAAATTCCACTTCTGGGCATTTATCCAAAGAAAACTGAAACAATAATTGGGAAAGATATATGCACCCCTATGTTCACTGCAGCATTATATGAACAAAATATGAACACAACCTAAGTGCCCAACAATAGATGAATGGATAAAGAAGAAGTGGTACATATATACATGGAATATTACTTGGCCATAAAAAAAGAATGAAATGTTACCACTTGCTACAACATGGATGGACCTAGAGGTTATTATGTTAAGTGAAATAAGTCAGATAGAGAAAGACTAATACCATGTGATCTCACTTATATGTGAATATAGAGAACAAAATAAACAAACAAAACAGAAACAGACTCAGATACAGAGAACAAACTGATGGTTGCCAGAGGGGAGAGAGGTGAGGATTGGGCAGAAAAGGGGAAGAGTGTTAAGAAGTACAAACTTCCAATTATACAATAAGTCACAGAGATGTGAAGTACAGTATAGAGAATACACTCAATAACATTGTAATAACTATGTATGGTGACAGACAACAGGCAGTTACAAACTTCCTGTGGGGATCACTTTGTAAGGTACACAGACGTTGAATCACTATGCTGTATGCCTAAACTAATATATGTCAACTATAATTAAAAACAAATAAACAAACGGTGGGTCTTAGGTGGCCCTGGGTGACGTCAGGGTCAGCAGGCACGGCCCACCCTACAGAAGCCAGTTCTGGAGGGCCAGGCCAGGCCCAGCGTGGACATGTTGGGCAAGCCCGCATCGAGACTGCATGGAGACCAAGGCTCCAGCAGGAGCCTCAGGTGTGCTCGGGGACGGGACACCTGCCAGAGCCCTGCCTCCGGGCATGGTGCTTACAGGCGACCAACTGAAGGCAGACACACTCGCTTGCTCCTTTCAGTGGCCAGTTGCCGGCGAGTCCACAGATGCGGACACAGAGGAGGAGACCCTGAAGAGGAAACTGGAGAAGCTGACCAGCAACGTCAGTGACCAGGGGGCTTCGTCCGAGGAGGAGGGCGAGGAGGACGGAGCAGAGCTGGACAGGAGCACCCCCGTGGAGGACCTCCCCGGGGCGGCCCCAGAGGTGAGGCCACCCCCAGCAGTCTCAGCAAGACAAAGGCCAGGGACTAACAGTTTGTCACGAAGCCAGCAGCCCGCCCAGGGCAGGCAGCCAAGCCCTGGTGGGCACTAAGGGCCCCTGATAAGGGCTGCAAGGGATGCCTGGCCCCTGGTTGACCGCCTGGCTAACCAGCTCAGGGGGTGAAGAGAAAAGAGCATCATAGGATCAGGCCCCTGTTGGTGAGGACCTGCAGGCCCCCCATGCTGCTGGTCACACTCAGTGCTCCCCTTTCCAGGTGTGCACAACTGCAGGCCAAACGCACAGATGGGAAAAGGATTCTCCAGGCCCTCAGGACCCTGTCCAGCCCGCCAGGAACCCAGACGAGGAGTTGTCCGAGCTGGAAGACAGAGTGGCGGTGACAGCCTCCGAGGTTCAGCAGACGGAGAGCGAGGTAGCCCCAGCGGCCCCAGGGCACAGCGGCCCCATCGGGTTCCCCAAGATAGACAGTGGCAGGGCTCTGAAGGCCTGACAGCTGTGGACGGTCCCCCAAAGGGCTCAGGAGCTGGGGGTCCCTGTGGGAATAGTGCCCACCACCCCTGTCTTTTTCCCATTTGCTGTGGTGAGGGGCAGGCAGGGCTTGTAGCCGCAGTGGCAAGATGCTGGCATTCCCCACTCCCCACCCCATGAGGAGGGACTTCTCTAGAAGCAGGCTTAGATTTCGGGGCGGCCCTGGGCTCGGGGCCGGACTCTGGGTCGTCCTTTGGCCGAGGCGTGGGCCCAGAACTTGAGCTTGGGTGGGGTGTTGGTGACATACAAAGGTCAAAGGACAGAGCCAGGCCTCCAGGGACAGCCAAGGTGACTGGGTTCTGCTCTGTCCTCCCCCTGGGAACCCACAGAGAAGAAAGGGTCTGCCCCTCAGTGTTCAGGGGGAGCTGGCACCCACGGCCCATTCCCACTCCTCTGCTCATCAGCAAGGGCCATCGGTCCCCAGGGGGACGGGGCAGGTCACCAGAGCCATGCATGTTAGAGGGAGCCAACCAGCATGAGGACATTCACTTATTCCTTCTTGCTTGGCAAACCATTTTCAAACTCCTGAATGTGCCAGGCATTGTGTTGGACACAAAAGACACAGCTGTGGCCACCTAAGACCCAGCCCCTGCCGTCACGGATCTTGCGTTTTCAGTGGGCCGAGACAGACAGCCAACCAAGGACCAGAAGGTTATTTCAGATCCCGAAGAGAGCTGTGCAGACAGGAAGTGAGGGTCATTCAATAGAGTGCTCGGTGGGGCTGCTTAGGTGAGGCAGTCAGGAAGGGGTATTACGAGGGTGGCAGCGCGTGCAAGGGCCCTGATGTGTGTTCAGGAAGCAGCAGTAAAACCCGGACACTGGAGCAGGTGAGGGGGAGAGTGTGGGCAGCCGGTCCGAAAGGAGGGAGGCTGCAGAGGGCCCTGGGAGCCACAGAGAAGAATTTGGGGAGGGATCTGAATGGGGGTGATGGGGCTGGGCTTCTGTTTCCAGAAGCTTCCTCTGGCCACTGTGGGAGGAGTGGCCTGTAGGGGGAGGTGAGAGAGGGGATAAAGCAAGGGTGGTGCCAGTGGGGGTGGGTGATTGGGAACGGTGGCAAAGGGNACACTGACCAGGGCTGCCTGGCTGCTCTGTGGGAAACATCTTTTCAAGACAAAATTGTATATGTGCTACTTACTGAGCTGACAGAATACCCCTGGAGGATCAAAATCGTCATGAGGGATTTAGAACCAAACCTCTGTTCTTGCATCTAAGGAACCGGAGGTCTGCAGAGCTCCTGCCCACCTCTGCCTCCCCAGCGGGTGCTCCCTCCTCTGCCCAAAACCCCAAGGGCCAGAGGCACCTCGCAGTCCTGCAGAGGCCTGCCTGCCCCCCAGGCTGCCGCCCACTGGGGCCTGTGTCCTCGGCACTTCTGAGAAGCCATGTGCCCATCAGGGGCTGCTGCTCAGTAAGGGAGCCGGGCGTGAAGACCCTGTGATGGGTGGGTGGGCTCTGGGCCCTCGGTGCGGCCTCCGGGCTGGGTCCGGTTAGTTTCTGGCTCAGGACGTGGACGTGCCCAGAGGCCGTCCCTATCCAGCTGACCCTGACCCTCCTCTTGTCCAGTCTGTGCCGGCCAAGAAGAAGCGCCTGCTCCCTGTTCACAGCTTGGACTTCGAGGCCGACTCTGATGACCCCGCCCAGCCGTGCAGTCACCCCCTGAGCCTGTCCTCAGTCCCAGTGGCCTGGGACAGCCTGCAGGTCAGTGGGCTCTCGTTTCTGTCCCACCAGGTCAGTGGGTAACTGAGCGACAACTACTCAGGCCTGAGATAGGGACACGGCTCCGGGAAACAGCGTCTGATGGCTGTGTATCAGACCAGGCATCGGGGCATGACGCACAGTGGGACAGCCAGGGGGGGTAGGGGACACAAGATCCAGAAACTTCACATCCTCTCAGGGCTTGACTCTCTGGAGAGACCCAGCTGGCAGCTTGGACAAGTGGGGTGCAGGGCAGTCAAGTTAGGGGCCTCAGGTATTCAGGATGGGTACTTATTGCAGAAATAAGGCAGAACCCCATGACTCGGGAGGGCAGGGCAGAGGAACTGAGTCAGGCGGGCCTGGCGTGTGTGTGTCTGGACGCCTGTCTTATTAGTAGGGGTCTTATGGGTCGGAGAGGCTGCCATTAAGAATCACACCAGCGCATCTGGCATCCGCAGGGGCCTTCCCGGAACCAGGACAGGTGGTCACTCTACTCCTTAGCTGGGTGACCTTGGTCTGGGGAACGTCTGTGAGACTCCATCCCCACCCACACACACCTGGAAAGGGGTGATACTCTCCACCTCACAGGACCATTTTCAGAAGCAGAGGCGGTGCCTAGCACACACAGGGCACTCCCCTGCAGCAAAGGGCAGCTTGGGTACAAGACCCAGAGCAGTGCTCCACTTCAGTAGGACCTCTGGACTCTGGGGGTGCCCTGGGCTCAGGCGGGACCGGGTCAGAACTGGGGCAGGGCTGGGGTCTGTCCAGGCTGATCTGCAGACCCCAGTTGGAGGTGGAAGGGACAGCAGGATGATGAAACCAACATCCAAGAGCACTTGGGGGCACAGGTCCTGCTTGAGCTGCAACCTGGCACCTGCAGCTCTGGTTGTCTGTGGCCTGTAGGACCTCCCAACCCCCGACAGCCAAGCTAGAAAGGAGCAGAGGCGTGTGGCTTCCTGAAGCCCTCAGCTCCTTGTTTCCTTGGGGATGGTGGCACAATCGAGGGGACCATCTGCCAGCAAGAGGAAAGGTGGAGGAGGGGGGTGTGGGAGCGCACCCAAGGGGCTACCCCATCCCCACCCACTTTTGCCTCTCTGTCCTTCAAGGATTCAGATATCCACAGAACAATGCACCTCCTCCCCCAAAACAATAATAATAACATCCCACCCACTTCCCCAGGGCTTTGTTCTCTGGGTGCATCTGAGCCCTGAGGCTGTCTGAAGTGTTTACTTCCCTTCAGTGATGGTGAGCCCTCCCCAGAGTCGCAGAAAAAGCAACAAATGCTTTCAGCAGGATTTCTGAAATTAAAGGGAACCAAGTTGCAAAGGGCTAGAGGGGAGGGGTGTCTAGTGTTGGGTCAGTCAGGTGATGCCTAGAACCCTCCAGGTGTGGACAGAAAGATCCACACGCCAAGGGGCCGCCTGTCC